AGCTTTTTTACTCAAAGCTGGTGTTCTAACACTTGAGCCACAGCTCTACTTCTGGCTCTTTTTGCTGGTTAATTAGAGATAAAGTCTCAAAGACTGTCTTGTCCAGTCTGGTTTGTTTCAAAATGCGATCCTCAGAGTTCAGCTTTCTGAGTAGCGAAAATTATAGGCCTGAGCCACCAGGTCCCAGTTACCATTTTTATTTTTGTATATTTTTATTACATCTAATACAGGTTACAAATAATTTACAGATAATTCATAAGTTGGAGGGATATGCTAATTTTACCCTCTGGTCAGAATGTGTGATATATAAAATCTATTGTTCTGCTTTAGAGAATTGCTCTTTTTAGCTCATAAAAGACATGAAGATTCAGTTACCTTCTTTCTCAAACTCTATAGTTTGCTGAAGTGTGCCTCACAAAGTATTCATGGAAAACTTCACCTGTCATAGCAGAATTCTAGCCTTGAATAGGAGAGGACTTTCCATTTCTTCTTTATATAGATGAAGTATTAATTTAGAAGAATATAAACTTATTCTTGAGGAACATGGTTAAAAAATAATGAACTTTGGTGTTAAATTATCAGCTGAATATTAATGTGTCAGACCAAAGACTTAGTTATCTTAGAAAGATTTGCTATCTGACCTGATGGAAAGACTTGAGAATACTGGTTAATAAAAATTCTTTTAAACTAAAAGTTGTATGGGACTTTGTGAATGCAATAGAAAATTTAATACTTGCAAAAAAAGAATCAGGCTTCAAGGGAGAAAAGTGAAATCGTCTTATAAATTATGTGGATAGTGTATACAGTGATGCTGAATAAAAGCAAAAGAATAATGAGAATGAGGAATGACAAATCTTAGAAAATGTATTCCATTACCCATAAAATGGGGATGCTAATATTCTTTTCTCACAGCAAGCTTTTTATAGGGTCATTGTGAGGCTAGTAAAAGGATGTGTGTGGAGCCTAACTTAGACATCCATTTGGTAACTGCAGCTGAATATTAAGACAGTGCTTTCCATACCACTTCCTTCAGATGTTTGAGGTCCTCAGCTTTTAGCTACAAAAAAGTACTGTTACCCATCATCCAAAACTCAGCGAGACTGCCCTGCTATGTAGATATATTAAACCATCCTATCTAGGAATGGAAGTGTAATAAAGATACCTTCCATTGAGCAGAACCAAAACACATTGACAAAATTACCTCACTAAAGGAACTTCTGAAAGTTAATACCTTATGGAGGAAAATTAGTTCAGAAAGAAAGACTGAGGTATCAAAAGTAAGGGTGAGTGAAATAACTGGAAAGCACTGGAATAAATCTGAGGAATATTGGTGCCATAAATTAAATTAGACATTAATGTATGGCAGGAAAAATCATAAGTCTATAGCGCATTAGGTTAACTGAAAATAGCCAGATTAAAATTGTATTTTTCTAGGAGTAGGAGCATGGCTAGCTCAAGTGATATAGCTACTTGTCTAATAAGCATGAGACCCTGAATTCAAAGCCATTATCACCAAGAGAATAAAAACCATTATCATCTTCAGTTTTTCTAAAAGAGATGAAAGGTAGATCAACCTTTACCTTTGATTAAGAATTTGTCAGTTTGGGGCTGGGAAGGTGGCTCAGTGGTAGAGCGCTTGCCTTGCATGCATGAGGCCCTGGGTTCGATTCCTCAACACCACATAAGCAAAAAGAAAAAAGCCGGAAGTGGAGCTGTGGCTCAAGTGGTAGGGCGCTAGCCTTGAGCTGAAGAGCTGAGGGACAGCGCCCAGGCCCAGAGTTCAGGCCCCACGACCGGACCCAAAAAAAAAAAAAAGAATTTGTCAATTTGATTTTGGGCTGTCTGTATATATGCTCTATATATTTTAGAGATAATTTTACAAATTTGAATTTACAAATATATTCTACCACAGTATCTAGGTACCACTAATATATATTAAGGAAAAGAAAAGGAACTGTCAAAATCAGGATATGGACAAATGCACACATGAAAAGATGGATTTAACAAGCATGAAATAACATGATTGAACTAGATCTCACCAAATGGATTAAACTCTCCTGCAAGAACCCAAGATCATTAAACTAGTTTTCTAAACCATCCTTTATATGTTTTTTGTTTTGTTTTTTGGTCAGCCATGGGGCTTGAACTCAGGGCATAGTTGCTGTCTGAGTTCTTTTGCCCAAGGCTAGTGTTCTACCACTTGGAACCATAGCCCCATTTCCAGTTTTGTGGTGGTTAATTAGAGATAAGAGGCTCATGGAATTTCTTGCCTGGGCTGGCTTTGAACCGTGATCCTCAGATCTCAGCCTCCTGACTAGCTAGGATTACAGGCATGAGGCACTAGTACCTGGCTTTGCTATATGCTTTTTAAAAGCTTTTATTTATGTATATATGTATGTATGTATATATATATACACACACACACACACACACACACACACGTGTGTATATATATAAAATATATATAGTAATTTTGAAATCCAAAAGATGAATCTAGAGAAATATCAAAAGAAAGCTTTTGTAGTTGTATAAATACATTTTTAAAAGATGATAGGAAGCCAGGCAATGATGGCCCACTCCTGCAATCCTAGCTATTCAGGAGGCTGAGATCTGAGGAGCATGATTTGAAGCTAGGCCAGGCAGGAAAGTCTGTGAGACTCTTACCACCAGAAAACCAGGAGTGGCTCTGTGGTAGAGTGCTATCCTTGAGCACAAGAGCTCAGGGACAGCGCCCAGGTCCTGAGTCCAAGCCCCGTGCCCCATCCTCCCCCCCCAAAATCGGAAAGTTTACTAGAAGAGAAATGACAGTATGTGGCACTGACGTGCCACAGAGGAGACAGCATTGTAGCCCGTCACATTTTACTGCAGCAATACTTTCGATTTTAAGGAGTTGGGGTCATAGCCCAGTGATAGATGTTTCCCTAGTATATATTAGGGGCTCTATGTGTGATCCTCAGCAGTTTTTTAAAAAATACATTCCATATAATATTTTAAGATAGATTTTTTTTTAAGCCAGATGCATTGTATGTAAGCCAAGCTACTTAGGAGGCTGAGATCAGGGGATGGCAGTTTATAGAGACAGATTTAGAAAAAAAGAAAAGTTCTCAAGCCTCCAAAAGTTTGCATGGCTGGGCATGGTAGCACACGTCTGACATCAGGAAGTTAAAATTGGTGGACAGAATCTCAAGAAAATTAAAACACTGAAAAACACTACAGTTACAGGACTTGGATTGTTAAATTCCTGCATGCACAGAAGACTTTAGGAAGAGTTGAATTATAATAGGATTTGTTTACTTTGTGGTGCTAGAGATGGAACTAGGGCCTTGTACATGTTATGCCAATACTCTACCACTGTGCTACCTTGGAGTAGCTATTGTGGTCTTGGGAAAGAGCAGGACCTTGTTTCATAAATAAATAAATAAATGGTTTGACTAGCACTGATGGCTCACGCCTGTAATACTAGCTACCAAGGAGGCTGAGATCTGAGGATCACAGTTTGCAGCCAGACCAGGCAGAATTGTCCATGAGCTCATCTGTGATTAACCGCCAGAAAACTGGAAGTAGAACTACGGCTCCCAGAGGTAGAGCACTAGCCTTGAGCAGAAAAGCTTGAGATAGTTTCAAGGCCATGAGTTCAAGCTCCATTACTGACATAAATAAAATAAAAGACTTAAAAACAGGAAAAGAACTAACATGATTGCTTAGTCCCTTCTGTGTTACTGTAACAGAATAACTGGGCTAGGTGACTTAGAACAGACATTTCTTTCTTAGAGTCTAGAGATTGCTTGAAATGCTTTGCTGCCTCATTCTGTGGTAGAAGTCCAAGCAGGAGATGGGTCAGGGTGAGCAAGCTGAACTCTCTTTTCTACCTCAGATCCACTCCCAAGACAGCACCACAGCCCACTTGTGAGCATGAAGCCTCCATTACCAAATCACTTCTAATTAGGCCCCTCCTCCCGGCCCTGTGCATTTGGATTCCACTTCCAATGTGAATTTAGGGCAGTATATTCAACGATAGCCATAATATAGCAGGACAGAATGAAAGGACACAAGAAGATCTTATAAGCCGGGCGCTGGTGGCTCACGCCTGTCATCCTAGCTACTCAGGAAGCTGAGATCTGAGGATCGCGGTTCAAAGCCAGCCCGGGCAGGAGAGACAGTTAACCACCAGAAAACCGGAAGTGGCGCTGTAGCTCAAGTGGTAGAGCGCTTGCCTTGAGCTGAAGAGCTGAGGGACAGTGCCCAGGCCCAG